CAAGAAACTTTTGAACAACGTCAAACCAGACTTCAAGCACAAAAGTTAAGACAAATAACTTACAGAGAGCAAGAAACAGAGGAGCAACGTTCTATATATATATAAAAGAGGAAGTTTGTTTATTTGTTTATTTTGTTCGCTATAGGAAATGATGTACTTCAGGCTCAAAGAACAAGACAAGCTCAAACACGATCTAATTTCAAATAAAGCTTTGTTTGATTAAATGCTTTTTTATTTCTCGCATCACAGCTTTTGTCTACGTACTGAAGAATTTGATGAAAAAAATACTGATCTATACATTTCAAATCTAAATTTTCACCGTGCAATGCCAGGTAACTCAGCTAGTAATTAATATAATAAAATCAGTAACTAATAAAAAATTACAACTTAGGTGACTATAAGACTACTAACCATGACAACAAAAACAAAAAAAGATAGCTGCCTATAATATTTATCAGTAGCGAGACACCATTATGCTTTGATAGGTTGAATAGGCAGAGTATTCATAATGAATCCAAGTTTCAAATGGACAGCAACTGCCTGTTGTAGAAACCTACAAATGTAGAGGACGACGTTTTGAAAGCCTTCCGCCTTTTTGTCTTCAGGTCTGTGTGTGTGTTGTGTAGTTTGGTCTTTATAGTGTTCTAGTGGATTGTGGAGAGCGTGTTATGATTGGTTGGTTAAAACACGTTTCTGATTGGAGGAGAGACTTCCTGTAGCCTCAACCAATGATAGCCACAGTTTACTCACCTGTAATCCTGAATCTCTGTTTAGTGAAGGTTTTATTGTGTTCATGTAAAACGATTCTTTAATTTTTCTTGTCTTCCAAAATTTGTCTGTGTCGATGATTCTAGCTTTTTCCCAGTTTATGTTGTGTCCAGTTGACATGGCGTGTTCAGCAATGGCTGAATTTTGTGTTTTCATGAGTCTTGTGCTGTATTTGTGTTCTTTTATTCTTGTCGTGAGTCTTCTTCCCGTTTCTCCAATGTATGTTTTGTTGCAGGAACACAGAATTTCATAAGTGACGTTTTTCTGTTTGTTGGTAGGTTTCTGTTTGTTTTTCACCAGAATGGATCTTAGTGTTTTGTAAAATTTCCACCGGACGTCTATGTTGAATTTCTTAGCTTTTCATCTGAGTTTTTCACTGACATTTTTCAGGTATGGGAGGTATATGGTTGTAGTGGTGGTGGTTTCTTTATTTTTCTTTTCTGTTGTGGTCTTCTTCAGGGAGTTCTTGATGAAAGAAGAGGTGTAACCATTATGTTTAAAACACTGTATGATGTTTTGGTGTTCTGTTTCAATGGATGTGTTATCACAAATGTTTTTCTGCTCTCTTGTTTATTCACACTAAAACCTTCACTAAACAGAGATTCAGGATTACAGGTGAGTCAATTGTGGCTACCATTGGTCGAGGCTACAGGAAATCTCTCCTCCAATCAGAAACGTGTTTTAACCAACCAATCATAACACGCTCTCCACAATCCACTAGAACACTACAAAGACCAAACTACACAATACACACACAGACCTGAAGACGAAAGGCGGAAGACTTTCGAAACATCGTCCTCTACACTTGTGGGTTTCTACAACAAGCAGCTGCTGTCCATTTGAAACTTAGATACATTATGCTTGACATGAATTTACTAACTGACCAGTCAAGAGGATAGTTTTCTCAGTGCTATTTTTCAATTGATACAACTGTTAAAAATCTTGAAATGAAAATAAAAAATTAAAGGTATTTTTAAAACTACAAATTGGTGTAAGAAATTATATTATTAAACTTTATAAGATATCTAGAGTTAGTGATTTGTGTACTCCACTCATGAATGTATTCCTGGATTTAATATAAATCTATTGTTACTGGACTTAATGTCAAACTCCAATGTCTAGCCAATACAGCTACCTGTTACAATGGCATAAAATTTTAACAAGTTTTATGAATTTGTAATCATTTATTTTCTATGATATTTGGCATGAAATCTTATCGAAGATTATCACTGTACATGTGTATATGTGTGTGTGTGTGTGTGACATAATTTTAAACTGCTCTGCTTTATTCAATAGCTCTTTTTCTCTGCCAAACTACTGCTCCTCAGTCTCTTACACAACTTCCATCCATCTTCCTGTGTAGCAGCTTATAGCATTCCTAGCACTAGTTATATAAATTAGTGAATTAGACCGAGAAATTGCAACAACTGATAGTGATAAGGAAGTCTTCTGGTATCACAAAAACTCCTATGAATAACATAAAACAGCTGAAAATTATGCCTTTCTTATAAATCTACATCACTGCTTGGGATGATTTCAGAAAGTTTAATATGTACACAGACAGACTTACCATGTGTTTTGTTCAGCACAAAACATGATGATTGAACACTTTTCTTAAAAGAGGATGCATTAGCTCCATTAACATACGAAGTGAAACCTTTTTCTTGTTTTTCAAGTTCTGACTGCATTTTTACTTATATTTCATACTTCATAATAATCCTAAAAAAAAAAGTCAGAAACTACATAAATAACAGGATCTATACCAAAGCTAGATTTGTAGAACTTCACTTGACAACAATTATTCAAAAGCTCAAGCACTAAATTACAGTATAAATAAATTTGGAAAACACTTACCACATTGACCAGAAAAATGTAATCTAATGAAATGCAAACTCAGTATTAGGTTACAAATCTTTACATTTACATAAGCCAAAATCCTAAATAGTCCACTGAAAACTTAAAAGGAAAAAATTCTCATAAATTTTGAAACATTCCAAATTATTCCACAATACCAAAAAGGCAATTCTCTCAATATAGAAATAATTAGCTAGTCCTCACTTGGAATAATACCTACAGTTTTGGCCTTCTTATCTAATAAAGAATACAGACTTATCAGAAGGATTTCAGAGAAGAGTTACTAGGATGATTCCAGGAATGGGTTATCATTCAAGTATAGGTTAAGTTAACTTATCTTCTCTTTGTAAAAGAAGACTAAGAAGTGATATTATTGAAGTTTGTAAGATTTTCAGGAGGATCAATAGGATAAAGGGCTATGATTTCTTTGTCTTAAATTCTGAATACAGTGAAAAGACACATGTTTAAGATTTATAGAAAACAGGTTATGCTACAATTAAGACAGTTTTATTTTTCTAACAGAGTGATTGACATACAAAATGGGTTCTTGTTGGCAGTAGGATAAGGCTATATACATGATCATCATGTCTACAGTCCAATGAAAACAACCAAATGACCATCATTCAGGCAATATTTATATTGATTAGATACATAACTTTTTTGTAATTTTAAAAAGATTAACATCACAGGATCGAGTAATAATCTTTTTGCCTATCACATTGCCAAATGTTATTATTTTGTGTCCTAGTAATGGATACATGAGCAATTATGGTGTATAGCCATTTGAAGGACTAATAGCCATAAGTTACATGCACAATATGTGGAGCAGTATTATATATATATATATATATATATATATATA